GAAAGCAGAATCCAGCTTTCAAAATGTATTTTTATGATTTTATAACTTAGTCAATGGATGAAGTTCAAAAGAAAAATGTTATAGATTATAAAACACCATCTGAAACTTTTGAAATCTGACTTTACACTTTGTGCTGAGCAAGGCGTCAATGCAGTTTTTTTACTATTACCTTGTCCCTACTTAAAGTGGACAAAATATGCTAATAGTGTGGCATTAACAGCTCTCTAAAAGTAAGTCCTTAACAAAAAATGATGTATTCAAGAAGTTATGTACTCTTATTACAATGGTTACGAGCTTGAATGCTCCTTGTAAAATAAAAGATGATCAAAGCTGCTGTAAAACTGTATGTAAACACATAAAATACCTGAAGGCAATGACATCCTCCTGCACCTCCTTTATTGACCTGTGACCCAATTTGTTTGGATATGAAGTGACATTGTAAGGTAACTTGGAACAATATTCCAGCTGTATAGGTCCACAGAATCTGGGAGGAGGTGGCACTGTTGTGCTAGACATTGTTGTTACTGCCGATGTTGTAATTGGCAGTGGTGTTGTCAAAACTGCAGAGCTTTCTGAAACCAACATTATTATGAAAAATAAGTTGGTCAGATTGTGTACAAACAGTATTATGTGACACTACTTGTGTCAAAGGCTGTACCATTATTAAAATAGAACTTTCTGCATATGAAGACATTTATACGCCATTGTAAATTTATTGTAATATTACTATTTTTATAATAAATCTGAAAGGAAGAGATATTTGTGAAGGTCAAGAATGAGATGGTGAGGGGTCAGAACAGGCTTCTATACCAGCACTGATGGAGTTAATTTATAACAAAGAGAGAAAATTGACAAAGAAAGAAAAAATAAAGGACTGAATAAATGTGTGAATTTTTCTAAATTCATGAGATGGCTTGTCCAAATGAATTACAGCATTAATCTGACAAAATCTATACAGCAGAATCCTCCTTGAGAAGCTAATAGCTATTCATTTGGTCAAGAAATTCCATTTTCAACCTTTTATTGAAAAAAAGGTTTCTTATTGTACACACAAAAGCCGACCACTGCATCCTATCCTGAGCCAAATGAATCTAGTCCAGATGCTCAAATCCAGTTTGTTTATGATCCATATTGATATTGGCTCTTCGTATATATTCCTAGATTCCTACATTTTCTGTAAAGTACAGACTAAGGCAAAAGATGAAAACATGTGGAACACAGATATTTTGAGATTTTTTTATCTACTGATTCACTCTTCAGTGGAAATGATGTCAACATGAAACAGAAAGATTGTTATTTAATTATTTAAATAGTGTACTACATTCTTGTAAAAAATTAGGGTACTGATGACCTAAATTTCATTAACATGTCATTTCTGTAATTGTTACATACACATATTCAAGCTTAGTAATTCTCCTATGTAATGAATTATGGTGTTGAGAGTATGACTTCACCTTTAATATCCAAACTGCTGAGATCGATGGTAAGGTTGGCAAGGTATCGTGATTCCTGAAGTGCTATTTCCTTTGACAGCACTTTCATCAAGTCAGAAATCCCAACATCTAACTGGCGGGGATCAAAGTGCAAATTAAAGTGGACTACAAGATCATGTCCATCAATTCTGAAATCAAAACAAGACTTCAGTCTTACCTGTAATACTCGATGCTTTCACATACTTATGAATGATAGTAAAAATGTAACAAAATAATGACTGTGTCTTTGAACTTCTTCAGTATATACAGACGTGGTTGCCATTTACAATTTACTGTTAAACTTTCCATAAAATTTGTTTTGTCTACACACATATCCATTTCTGTTACTTTGTTCAGTCCCAATGGTACTGACCCATCTAGCGCTAAGACTTCTGTGCCTAGGAAGGCTGGCCTGAGATCACTGCGCCGGAACACCAGGTTCAGTCGCTCTCGGTAATCTCTTGCTCGTATCCGGAACTGTTCAGTGGCTGGATCAGCAAGTTCAGCAGAGAAGGCATCACCTCGCACCACCCGGAACATTGCCCGGAACACTTGCTCTCCTGGTGGATCTGCACTCAGGAATGTGTCTGTAAACGAATCCAATAAGAATGGGTTACATTTCCAAGTATCATTATAGTGAGAATTAGCCAGAAAGTAGGTTTCATTAAATCTTTGAACATGTATTGAAAATTAGGCTTTCTTATTGACTGATTCTCACCATTAACTCCATGATTCCTACACATTCCCTACCCCACCATATGAACAACGTGAAGACAGTGAGAGGCCATGGGAACTATTAGTTTCTTCATTTATGTAATGATGCTTTCTCAACTGCATTGGTTAACTAGTCTTAAATTGGGGATTAATGTGAATGATAAATACAGGAAGATATGGAATGACATGGAGGTGGCCTTTTTTAGATTTTATCACAGCATTACCATATTCACAAGAGTCCGACACTTTACCCTATCCTAACCACATGAATCCATCCACACCCTGAAACCCTTTGCATTTAAGATAATTTTAATATTAGCCTCCAATGTACATCTAGGTCTGCCAGAGTGTGACAGATTATAAAATTGCAAGTTTTTGTTGTTTGTAATGGAAATATTGAACACAGAATCGTCATGCTGTATGCAAATTAATATTGCACAAAACTGTTCTTCGCGTCAGGTTTCTCTATTATTTCACAATAGTTTAGAGGCTGTAGTTAGAATGCTTAACAAGATTATATCAAACATCTACTGCATTCTTTATTAATCCTGTAATGTGTGTGAAAGTCTTTTAGGACAGACCACTGTCAACACTGAACAATTGTTGGTCAACGCAAAATAATACGTCACCAACGTTAACTCTGGGATCTATGTTTGGAGAAAGCAACAGTGAGAATTTTCTTAAGAAATATTTAAGCAAAGAGATCATAAATGTTTTAAATAATAATTTAATAAACTTACTCAGCTAATTAAAATAAATGTTTTCATTTTGATATTAAATTTATTGTGAAGCTTCGCCATTTTGCCCAAAAGAGGTGGTGGTCATTTTCAACATTTGCTATAATCACACTTGGAATTTTGGGACAAAAATGTACCAGCACTGATTAGCGTGATTTCTCGGTCTGTCTGGCATAATATGCAAAGTATAATCGATGTGACAGACAAGCAGGGGTCGTTGGTGGTGTTTCGAAGACCAAATTTTTGTTTATTTGGAATTGCAAGAAGTGCTCCATCTAGATAATTCCGGAAAGTGAAATCGACTTTAGTTGAGTGAGAGAAATTACGAGAACGTGAACAAAAGAATGGAGAAAAGGAACAGCTGCTGCTTAAGCCAGGCAGTGCCGTCGTACGGGAAGTGAAGGTACCAACAGGAGTTCGTACGCCATTATTTTGCGTTTAAATTAATTCAACAAGAACGGTATCTACGAGCACGAAGACAGAAACCTAAACACAAAGCATGCAAAAAGAGAAGGTGATATAGCTGACATGCAAATTTGGTATGAAATATTCAGTATTTGTCATGATTTACAGCTTCTGGCTTCCAACAGAACTAGACAGACCCTGTCCTAGTTCACACGTGTGAACTATAAACATGGCTTTTTTTTCTTTCTAATTTCCGAGAGATTATTCCGCCACATATGTTGATACACTCGAATGTTATAGCATAACAAAGTATGGGAGAAGGAAACAGAACAAATCACATAAAGAAAACGAGAAATAATAAAAAAGCTAGGCAATGAAGATTGCTGTCTTCTGGATTGTTGCGCCATCGCCCTGATGATGGAGGCAGCATGGACTTCTGAAACGTTGGTGGACAATTACCATACTACACGGCGCAACAACCCAGAAGACAGAAATATTCATACTCACCACCGTGAAAACCTCAAATCCTACAAGTTAGGCAATATGACATAACGTAACAGTTCTGATGCATTTGCTAGAATATGACCTCTACGAATGATGCCAGTGACGTAACTTGTCTGGAATTTGTAATCGTCGTGATGTCTTGGGGCTGTCTGGTTGGTTGATGTTATGGAGGATTCCCCCACATGATTGAGCGGGTGGCTAGGGAATCGTCATCAAAACCACACAATTTATTTCTCTTTGTTTTGTATCAGGGGCCCGCACGAACATTTATTGGGAATACTTGTTTTTGTCGCTCCAGAATAACATTTTTCGAACCTCTCGGATTTTTTAAAAAAACCCTTCTTGCAGGGAATTGGTTTACGATCCAAAATATAGTCCTTAATTAAATCAACAACTTTAATTTGAAACTATTTTCTTCAGTATAGTAAATATTTAAGAAAGTACAATAATAAACAATTTATGACAAATTCCATGTCTACAGCCGGTTCGCTTTGCAAAAATAGGATTTTATCTGCCTGTGAAATGTCAAATCGTAAAGAAAGCACTTGGAGAACACATCTGTCCACTTTCCACCCAAAAATCAGAACACGGGTAGCCCATCAAACAGCAACGTAATTCTCGGGATGTTGGCAAGACGGTGCCACCATTCTGCAGCACAGACAACCTTGTCATTAAATACGAAGTTGTTAATGTAACGGAACTCGGCTGAGGAGGATCCTAGTGACCGACATCGCTAACAGTTATCTGAATGTTCCACTCGGCCTTGTCTTTTACTCCGAAGCCTCTAACCCGACTGAAGTGTGCCGGTTAAAGAGGGGTTTGGTGCTACGATATTCTGATCGGCTCTGGAGCCCACACAGTGTGATTCAGTAAGTGGAGCATTAACTTTAAGATTTCCATGCTCTTTTATGGCGTAAAGGAGATTCTACCTTCTCCATCTTCAACGCAAAATATCAGACTCGATTCGGGTCGGTACGTGGTTTAAATCTCGATTGGGGAACCGGTTATCGTAGATTAAAGTCGGTTCTAATACTTGTCTTTGCCTCAACGTACCAAAACGGATCCTTTTTTTTCATGGAAGATATTTTGCCATCCAGTTAGATGGTCAGTTCCGTTTGTTAGGAAAATTATAAGCTATTGTTAATTTATTCTGTCAGGAAGTAAGTGGAGCAGTGTGTCTACTATTTGTCACTAGAATAAACTGCTGCTTTCAACGCCATTAGTCAAGCTCTATGCTTCAGCAACTGTAGAATGTTAACGGGAAATTGTGTTAATGACAGTGACAACCAGTTCTTCAGGTCTGAAGCTCAACCACAGGTTTTCCAAATTAACTCTGCCTTAAAAGCAAATGAACACTTACATTCGATTCTCATGTGAAACAGCTAGGAAGTAAAGAGGTGACGTTCATAAGCTCAACTCCATGTTGGAGTACCGCGCATGTAGTGAATACCAACGCAAACTTCAGTAATTGATACAGTTTTTTGTTATTTTCCAGCTGAAGACATTTGTATACCAAATGCCAACACGTTCTTACTATAAAACTTAAAATGGCAGCTTCGCCTTCTTATCCAGCTTCCAAGTCTACACTCCAGCTTCACCTACCACACCACAATATGTGTTAGTAATCAAGAAACAGGCATCTTTAACCCCAGATGCGTTTAATATGAATGTGCCGGCTGCAAGCAGGCAGCACAATACAAGATTCACGTCGTATACGATTGCTGTAGGTGGGACACAGTCTTAGTTACGAAAGTAAGATAATAATGTCACGATTCTGTTGATGCCATCGGCGTAATACGAAACGTTTCTGCTGAAAGTAGTCTAATCGCTAAGAATTGCTGTAAGGAGTGTACATCATGGGGTCTTGCTCAACTGGAATTTTTTTGGCCCTCATAGAACGCACACTTGCCTAAAACTGGTCAGACAGTCTGACTGACCGACAAACTGATTGACTGATCTCCGAAATACGGTGTTCCCTTTAGATTATCAAATTCAAAAATCCAGCAGCAGTAATTACAAATGTATCTCCGTCAGAATCCTTTAAAAACGCGCATTCAAATAATTCTTAAATTTCACTCCTCTTTACAAAAGACTGCTTCCGCTTAACACAAGTCTTCTGCTGGTCACAGCTCCGATATAAGTAATTTTAACAGCGATATTATTTTTCGTATAAATATAATTCTACTCATTTCCATCTAAAGGACGTGTTACTAATTTCATTCTCCCATTTACATACAATTTTATACAGGTACAGAAATGGCTTACATCCCAAGTAAACAGCAGCGGCTGCCACCAGGAGGAAGAGCAGAAAGAAGGCGAGAATGCAGCAGCCACAGCGGTAGTGGCCCCCGAGCTTCCGGGTGAAGCGGATGTCGCTGTCAGAAGAGAGGATGGAACTCGGAGTTTCAGAGCGGGCCAGGTGCTTGGTGCTCACCGTGCTGACAGACATCTGCAACACAATTAGAATAACGTCACATGCAAATTCAGGTCTACTCAGCCTGGCGTTGTCGACAGTGGTCTTCTGAGACGTGACGCTGTGAGGATAATTCTGTTGGTTGGTGCCAACATTTCGGAGAGCACACTACCTCCGTCTTCAAGGTGTTAAAGTTACATGGTGTCACAACCCAGAAGAACACTATCACCATCTTGAAAACCTCATACATCCTGGCTTGTGGTCATCCTTTTACTGTTACAGATATTGTTAATACATTTTAATGAACCGTTCTGTTCTTTGCGTCTTCGCCTGCGGTCGAATTCTACCTTGAGCTGAGGTACAAACACGCTATTGAAGTTTAAACGCCTCTAAATGCACTAAACCAAATAAAAAATTGTACCTATCTTGAGTTAGGGTGTTAAGTTATTGCAGCTATGAAAATACTAGATGTTGACACAGAAACCAATACAGAAGAGTCGCTGAGGTTGAACGGGGCGGTGCACTCACGAAACATGTCGCTCTAAAATGTAATACTTCCGCATACTATCATCATGATATGACGACAATTTACAATGTTAAGCGAAGAATATCATCCATTATCCTCATGACCTGTGAAACGTCGGTAAACTTCTATAAAAATACATGGCGCAACAGCCCAGAAGACAGTCAAATAATTCTTCATGCAATATTTCCTTCCTTCCTTCCTTCCTTCCTTCATTCATTCTTATTTTTTCATCTACTTCACATTCCTCTTCTTTCTTCCTTCTTTCTGTTACCGTAACTCGCTCACATAAAATATTCTCTTCGAAACTTTGTTCTCAAATACAGTATTTGCAGAGATATCTCAAAATACAGACCCAAATACATGCACGTAGCGCCTCGGTACACACATCCTTGAACTTGAACTGGCGTGAGAATATAAGACGATTATCTCACACAATGCAACCAAGTGCTCAGTTCTTTGCTTAATCACTGCATTGCTAGAGCCAGTGTTGGTGGTATTCTCATCGCAATATGGAGTGAAAACTCAACAGTTGACGTTGCATAAACTTTGCACACTGCTCTTTATTCGTGTTAGGAAAAGGAACTTAAAAATGGAAGAACAAATTACAATACCATGCCCCCTTACCCATAGGACAATGCAATGAAGTCGTGGGTGGGAGGGAGCGACCTGAAGAAAAAAGACTCATTGGAAAACCTGGAAGGACAAGATGCTATGGGAGGACAACATTAAAATTTGTCTTTAAAAAAAATAAGGCGTGCGGATGGGTGTGGACCAGTGGCAGATTCTTGTCACTATCGTAACGTCCTTTCGGGTCCGACAAGTGTGGGTAACTTCTTGATATCTGCAACTATCAGCTTCTCAAATTACCCTACTTTACAGATTTCGTTACAGAATAACTACGACTCCTTCCTCATCTAAGACACTCTGGAAGTTCAATAGACTTGTTTTTCCAGGAGGCTGAACTTGCAGCAGACAGAAAGGGTTAGGAGGCGAAACAACAGCTGCAGTGACAGAGCGTACGCCGGATGGAACACGAAGCGAGTGCAGACCAGTTTGTAGCCAATACTTAGAAATAACGACTGCCATTAATGCTAAGGGAAGCTTCGTCTCCTTTTCTTATGTACCTTGGAATGCTTAAGTCTACACGGCATACTTAAACAGTAATACTGAGTGTACCGTTCGATACTAAAGCTTTCTCTTCCTCAGGGCGAATTTTGCAACGCCGCCATTTAGAAAGGACAACTGCTTCGTGTGAAATGCTTATAATGCCTACTGCCATTTTCACGTAACGTACAAGACACCAGCCACGAAAAGTGTACGCCTAATGCAAAGCAACCTTAATTTACTTAAATTAATCATCATAATAATCGATATTCAGTCTTATTGGCGGAATATCCACTAGAAATAGGCGAAGAATTTGCCTTTTCCAAGGAGAAAAAACAGGATGATGTGATGGATCCTAGGGAAATGAATTGCAAGAATGAATGGGATGTGGATGGAACTGGCTCAGGATACATTGTCCAATGGCAGGCTTTGTTACCAGCAAATCAAACTTTCGTGGCTTCTAACCGTAGATAATTGGTGCCAATTAGACAGGATATGCATGAGAAAGAGTTACGCACATGGAGCATGTGCTAGTGTTCCGAAACAAGGGGCTTCCGGTAGACGAAAGGATGTCGACCTGCTTGGACGTCAAAGGCACCATGAAAGCTGATGTTTGAGGAGGCCATGAATTTGTAGCTTAAGGATATAACAGAAATAACCGAAAAAAAAACATATTAAATATTTAATGGTGAAATGTAGTCCTTTCAGATGTACAGATTGAATTCTTAAATATTATTCATACTCGTTTCGGCTTAAAAGTGTCAAACAAACATGGCTAGGTGAAGTTTAAATTGTGAAGTTACAAAACAAATTTTACTGCCCTATCAAAATTTTAGCCCAAGATTAAAACGCAAAACCAGGCTTAAAGCAGTTGACACGTTCGTTCGGTCAGAACGAATTGCTAAGAAGCAAAAACTTGTTCATATGTGCTTCTAACTAACATACGACATACAAAGCAGCGCCTGCATTTATGCACCCGGCATCACAGTCGATACAATCTATGGAACCAGGCCACATGCCAGCGTCAAACAGAGGAATTTCCATCACATAGTCCAACATCCTTCTGCTTCACTGGCAGCCACTTAAATTCCACTGCGTATGGCGTAAGTAACTGGTATGACTGCACTGTCACATGGAGTCCAGAGGTTAAAACCCTTTCGTGGAATACCATACGCCTCGCTCGGGACAACGTGGTATCAAACCTGCTACAGACAGATAGACATGAACGGTGGTACAGTGAAACCTGTCTGAGAAGGATCTTCATGAAAAGAAAATTTGTGTCAGAATATTTCTGTTCCCAACAGTGAAGAGACTTTAAGATGACCGACGTTTAAGAGGTGCTTACTGCCCTCAATATTAGGGCCGCCCCAATAAAATGAGTCAGCTCCGGCCGCTTTATATTAGGAGAAAGTCTCTGGCAGCCATCGGATTGAGTGTGTGTACGCAACCCTGGCACAGATAAAAGTACCTGATCCTACTTGAAATCGACCCCGGCCGTTCAGTCAATACCCTGTGACTTTAGCGAAAAAGGTACTTAAGTAAATGTATTAGAAAGACAATAAGAAATACATAGATGAGAGAAAAGCAAAAATCTGTGTTAATAGCTCTGCCTTCCAGTAGACATATCCCAGTTCACAGACAACTAGACTTGAGTCCAGTCTGAAACTACCGACACTACAAACTTGTTTTAAGATTTTGCTAGAATTTCTATCGTCATATGAGATTTTCCGGTCTCATGAGATGAGAACAGAACAATAAGCATGAACCAGTTTATTTTTACAGTGAGAAAATGTAATTACACTCCGTAACGCAGGAACTCGAAACACACATTTGCTGGCACACAGCCCCGAGAGGAAGAAGCTGCCTCTTGACAACGCATCGCCTGCATGAACTGCCTCACAGCCATCTTGAATAAATCTTACCGAAAACTGGCGTTTTCCCTGAATTTGTCTCTTTAGAAGCAGAGGGAGGACTGATCACATTCCTCTTGAAGATGGCTGTCTTCTGGGTTGTTGCGCCGTGTAGTCTGGTCGATGTCCACCAACGTTTCAGAGGGCCATGCTGCCTCCATCATCATCGCCCTGATGATGGAGGCAGCAAGGACCCCTGAAACGTCAGACTACACGGCGCAACAACCCAGGAGGCCAGCATCTTCATACTCGCCGCCGTGAAAACCTGAAATCTCGCTTTGGCTTGCATTGTTTAGCCTAACTTCCGTGCTCTTCGACGGTGCCTACAGTAACACAAACACAAGTTTTCTTTTCTGAGGACTGAACCACAGCTTGAACATGTGCACCTCGCTGTCTTGTGTTGTGAGTACGAGTAGAGGGATGATACACTTCCCAGTGCAGATGTCAGGGTGTGCTACAATTCAACGGAGAATGTATCAGAAAGGTCACGCTGGGCGGAGAAGGTGAAGGGTATTGAATGGAATGCAACCAAATCATAAACCGATCCCTTCACTGCAACAGACACGTAACCTTGCTAGGAGTCTCATTCAACTGTTTAACCACCCAGTGCGATGCCAGATTGGTTCAGAATCATGAAGTCTCAGACTTGTCTCACGAGAAATAGTTATAATATCAGCTTCAAGGTGTATGAGATATTATTTCATGTGTGTCCTTTGCAATTCGATCTCAGGAAACACTCAATCCAAAAAGTTTGCAATGACCCTACGTATTTTGTATCTTCCAAGTCAGATATGCGTACATTTGTACACTTCAATGCTGTTGATCCACAGAACTAGCCCTAAACATTTTCACGTTTCTATTTCTACCTGTCTGTCTATCCGTCTTTGTTTATTCCTTAGAAATTTCTTGTACCGATGTGTACTAATATTCTCACTGTTTCATGGATCAACCAAAGAAAAGTAACTGTAAAATATCGGGCATGCTTGTTGTATAAGTGGGCTGTTATCCTTCAAGTCACCTGCTCTAATTACAAGGCTAATACAAGGTTATTCTATTATCAGTTTGCAATA